AAGGACCTAGAAATAGAAATCCCATTTGACCCAGCAATCCCATTACTGGGTATATATCCAAAGGATTATAAATTGTTCTACTATAAGGACACATGCACACAAATGTTCATTGCAGCACTGTTTACAATAGCAAAGACTTGGAACCAACCCAAATGCCCATCAATGATAGATTGGACAGGGAAAATGTGGTACATATGCACCATGGAATATTATGCAGCCATCAAAAATGATGAGTTCGTGTCCTTTGTAGGGACATGGATGAACCTGGAAACCATCATTCTCAGCAAACTGACACAAGAGCAGAAAATCAAACACTGCATGTTCTCACTCATAGGCGGGTGTTGAACAATGAGAACACATGAACACAGGGAGGGGAGCACTACACACTGGGGTCTGTTGGGGGGAAATGGGGGAGGGACGGGGGGTGGGGAGGTGAGGAGAGACAGCATGGGGAGAAATGCTAGATATAGGTGAAAGGGAGTAAGGCAGCAAATCACACTGCCATGTGTGTACCTATGCAACAATCTTGCATGTTCTTCACATGTACCCCAAAACCTAAAATGCAGTAAAAAAAAAAAGAACAAACTGAAAAAAGAAATCAATCCTATTTATAAAAGCTACAAAGAATATATAATACCTAGGAATAAATTTAACTAAGGAAGTGAAAGATCTGTACAAGGAAACGAGGATGAAGACCAAATATATACTTTACAATATTATAGTCCTACATTTTCTTTATCCATTCATTTGTTGACGTGTACTTAGGCTGATTCCATATTCTGGCTTTGTGAATAGTGCTATAATAAACAAATATGCATTTGTTTATTATGCAGATATCTCTTCAATATATTATTTTTTTTTCTTTTGGATATATACCCAGCAATGGGATACATTGGGGAAGTTCTATATCTGCTTTTTTTTTTTTAAGAATCTCCATACTGTTCTTCATAGTGGCTGTACTAGTTTATATCCTTCAAATGTAAATTAGGGACTGCACCCCCACTCTGTGGGACCTGATGCTATCTTCAGGTGTACATTGTCGAAACCAAATTAGAGGCCACCCAGCTGGTATCTGGCACAATTGCTTGCTTGTTTGGTGTGTGGAGAAAAAAAAACCCACACATTTGTTCACAGAAGTCTTCTGTGTCATTTGCTGCTGAGTGAGAAAACAGGAAAAACCCTTTGAGTTTTTTGTTGGTTTTGTTTTCCACTCACAGATAGTACATATACACAATGGAATATTATTCAGCCATAAAACAGAATGGAGACCTGTCATATGCAGCAACATAAATCATGCCACTGCACTCCAGCCTGGTGACAGAGTAAGATTCCGTCTTAAATTTTTTTATAAAAGGGGGTTTGGTTAATGGGCACAAAAATACTCTTAGATAGAATGAGTAAGTCCAAAGTGTGATAGCACAGCAGGGTGAGCATAGTTAACAAGAATGTATTCTGTAGTTCAAAATAGCTATAAATGAAGAATGGGAATGTTCCCAATATAAGGAAGGAATAAATGCTCAAGGTAGTGGATATTCCAATTACCCTGATTTGATCATTGCACATTGCATACGTGTATCAAAATATCACATGAACCCCCACAAGTGTACAACTATATTATGTCCCAATAAAAAGAATCCTGACATTTGAAGTTTTTATTTCAGGCCCCAGACTCCCTGGAACCAGTTCAGTTATTCCCATACCCTCACCCTTGCCTTTTCACAGTGGCTACTGCCAACTGTTCATCTTGTTAATAGAGAAATCAGCAGGTGTAAAGAAGAGAGGTGAGGGTCTTTGGATATGTTTGAGACTTTCTCTGTGATAAAAAAGAAACTGGAAAAGAAAAGTCTGGCATAAAAGATAGACGGAGTAGCCTGAAATCTTTCAAAGGTGTAAATATTTAAATGAAAATTAAAAATTCACATATTTTTATTTTCCAAAGTAACTCTGAGCCCTTTTCCTACCTGTCAGGAGGGCATCTGCAAACACTTGCCTTAGGTCAGAGGCCAACTCCCTTTTGCTGGAAAGGCCAGAGAGTAAATGTGTAGGCTTTGCAGGCCAGATATATATCCATGGCACATATTGTTTGTTGTAAAATTGTCTTAAAACTATAAAAATCATTCTTAGCTCTGGGCCATATAAAAACTGTCTCAACAAAAAAGGAAAAAACAAAACGAAACAAACAAACAAACAAAAACAGGCCTTTGGGCAGATTTGGCTCACAGGCCATAGTTTGCTGGTCTCTGGCTTAAGGTCCAGAAAGCATGAGACAGAGTTGGGAAAAACGGATTTTAACCTGAACCTGTTCCCTTAGTCAAGCCTTCACCTCTGTTTGGACTGGGACGTTTCTAAGGCTCATTCAATGATTCTGTGACTGTCCCCAGATTACCTAACTAAGCAAATCTACCGTTGCCAAGCATGAGCCCTGTCTTCATCCAAATTGCCCCTGTATCACTTCAACCTTAGGTCTCCTATGTTTCCCCACTGCTCCAAGCTGAGTATCACCTTCCCACCACTGTTTCTCCAGGAAATCCTCCAAGGGACAGGAGGCTCAAGGAGCCAAATGAGTGAGGGAGGACAGGGCCCGGAAGAATGATGTCTACCTATGAAGAAAGAAGGCAATCCAAAAGAAATAAACCCACCAACCTGAGACAGGTCTTTCTTCTTCTTACAGTTGGTGCCTCCAATGAAGACCATGTTGGGCATGACCGGCCTGGGATACTCAAGTACAAAGTCATATCTTAACAGCCAAATAGAGACCTTCTGATATAAGGTAATTAAGTCCACATCTCTCTTGAGGACAGCTGATGCAATATCTTCATACTTTGAAAACAGACAATGAAATAGATAGGGCTCCAACAAATTAACGAGGAAGTTGGCCACTCGTTGGGGAAAAGTCATGTGGTCTGAAAACTTTGTGTAGCACCTGGGAATATAGGACACAGGGCTTGGGCTTCTGCTGAATGCATGCTCCAGGGAACACGGAAAACCCCTGAAGAGGTACACAGAGGGTAGGCCTAAGTACTCAGCCAGGATCACCCCGCAGGGTAAGGCTGGGTCTGTGAAAAGAGCATCGAATTTGCTTTCCTTGAGGAAGTTCAGGGTGTCCAGGTCCTGCAGGAGGCTCTGGCAGTTGATGAAGTACATGCCAACAACAATCATGTTATTTCTGTACTCAGTCTGGGGAGCAGTCAGGAATGATCGCTCAGCAAAGTGATTATTTCCAAATGATTGGTAACGGTTCTCCATCTCTTCTTGGTCATACGGCACTGGATAGATTTTTCTTGTGTAGTATTTGGATTCTTTCAAAAGCAAATTGACTTCGGGCACCACCACCACAATGTCATGCCCCCTGTCACTGAGGACCTCAACTATATCATTCATACTAAGCCAGTGGCTTCCATCCTGAGGGACCACCAGCAGCTTGTCACCTACAACCATGCCCCAAAGTGCTAAGAAGAAAACCCCTGCAGAAACTCTCTGAAGTGCATGAAGTAGGTAGGCCATCCTGGAAAGAGTTAAAGTAACAAGAGTAATGGAGTTTAAATGCTCCAAACCACAGAGCCCCTCGCTATTTTCCCTAAACTAACCACTGCTTTTCACAGGCTCTGTACACCCCTCCTTTGCTCTGAATTTTGCCCTTTAATATGTAAAGAACCCAGCTTAATATTTAACCATTTTAAGCACAAAGTTAATGTGAACCAACTATACCCTGTATCAGCTTTCACCTGAGCTTCTGGGTTTTTCTCATCATCTCCACCAGTCTGCCTCTCTCTCTCTGAAGAGTTATAGCAATACTTTGAAGATAACTGGGAGAGACCCTTGGGACCTTCTGCCAATTCTCTATCCTGAACTTGCTGGATTTCTCATCATCAGTGTTGTCTGTCATGTTCATGATGTGTGGGGATTTTCTTCCACACAGACCTGTTGTCTAACGCCAGTTGGGTATCCTACAATTCAATTTAATTCAGACACTAACCAGAGTTAGCACAGACCTGACAGGTTAAGGGCTGAGTCCTACAAGACTGCTCCCACTTCACACATCGATTCCAAGTAGTAGGTTCCCAGGTTACCCACAACTTCTGTATGACTTGGCAAAAATCAGAGGTTCACACACCCTCTTTCTGGGAGTCAATCATTTGCTAGGACAGCTCATAGAACTGAAGAAAACAGTTTACTTACTAGGCTTGGTTTATTACAAAGGATATTGCAAACAATGCAGATGAATAGCCTGAAGAAAAAGTACAATGAACAAGTTGAGGATGGGGCCATGGAGCCCCATCTGCCATTTCCGGATCCCTAACCCTCCACACCTTCGGCAACTTGGAAGCTCTCTGAACCCTGTCCTTTTGAGTTTTTATGTAGGCTTCCTTACATAGTAGGCATAATTGATTAGATCATTGCCCAACGCCGATAAAATCAATCTTCAGTCCCGCTCTCCTTTTTTGCCCTCTAATCACAAGGGTTTTGTTCCCTGGCAACCAACCCTCATCCTTACGGACTTTTCACCTCTTTTACGTAAACTTAGGTGTGATGGAAAGGGATCTGTTTTGAACTAACAAAAGATTCCCTGTTCACCTTTATCATTGCCACCACTTACGGTTTTAGGAGCTCTGGCCAGGAAACAAAGACAAACGTATATATTTCTTATTATATATCACAACATCACAACATTCAAACTGTTACTTGCCTTTAGGAAGTTAATATTTGAGAAGTGTAAGTCTAGCCAGTATGTGGTGAGAGTCCTAGAGCAGGAGTAAGAATGCCTGGTATCTGCTTCTGGCCCAGCCTCCCATCATCCAGGAGAGTAACTCCTTTCCTGAGCTTCAGGTTTCTCAGCTGAGGCCCAGAAAGGGAGGATCACACTGGCCCTGCGTGCTAATCACACTGCTGAGGGCGGTCCCAGAACAAGATCCCTGTAAAGACTAGGCTGTTCCAGTGAGAGGTGGTGCCTAGAAATACTAGAACAGGCTCGCCCAGAGAAAGTCACGCACACCTGGCTGGCATGCAAGGTCCTGTTCTCACCCACAAGTTTGGCACTGGAGGTGTTCTGGGGCCCAGAAAGGGAGAAGAAACTGGAGCAACATAATTGGAGGGGCCACTCCAAGCACAGGGCTGGCCCCCTGGGGGAACAAAGCTAGGATGCAAATTCATTGTTCAAGGCATGCAAAGACTCAGCTCAATCCAAGCTGGGAGCAGCTTCCCAAGAGGATTGCCAGCTTACAATGCTCAGGCATGGGGGTGGCAGCATCTTGCTTTGGCAATAAGATTCCAGGAAGGTTGCAAAGGGAACACAGCTCAGGCCCACCTTCTTGAGCAGGTAGACATTAGGCAGGTTTTCTTCCAAGAATGGTTCATTTAGAGGACCAAAGGCTTACGCAAGCATGTAGGAATAGCAGGATCAAGAGATGCTACAAATGTCACATTTTTTTATACTAGACCTCCATTCTGCTGTGGACCTTGGTCTGGACCCTTCCAAGCAGAGCTTTGCTCTGAAAATCCTATGGCTCATCTGTGGGTCCTGTTCTTATTCCCAGAAGTCCCTACAGAACTAAGTTGAAAGAAGGAGCTACAGAGAAGAAACCAACATCACTATGCATACCAGCCCCTGAATACGTAACACCTTCTTGCAAATTAAGGAGGTATTAGAAAATATAGACTGTCAATAGATATTTGTTCAATGAATGACCTTTAAGTTTTTTAAATAAGAGCCAGCTGCATGTTATTCTGTAACACCAACAAAAACAAGACCAACTCATATCTGCTGAAGGATTAGAGACCATGTGATGTAAGTCAAACCCACTCTGGGCACATTTGACTCCGTGTGACATTCCCAAAAGGCCGGAGATAGGACATTTCCCAAGAAGTTTCCTGTCAACACAGAGAGGCAGTCAGGTATAGAGGTAGGCACATTGTCTCTAAAATCAGAACATCAGAGTTTATCGTATCCAGATGTTCACAGTAACATTATTTTTCATGGTTGAATAGGGGAAACAATCCAAAGTTCCTCCAACTGACGAATGGATAAACAAAATGTGGTAAATCCATACAATGGAATATTCAGTCATAAAGAGGAATGAAATACAGATAAGCCATGAAATTAAGTGAAAGAAGCCAGTCATAAAGGCTTCCATTTCCATGAAATGCTCAGAATAGGCAAATCCATACAGACAGAAAATAAATTAATGCTGAGGGCTAGAAGAAAGGGGAAAAATGAGGAGTGACTGCCAGTGGGCATGGGGTTTCTTTTTGGAGTGAGGAAAATGATCTGGAATTAAGATATAGGTGATAGTTGATTACATCTGAGAACACATGGAAAACCACTGAATTTTATGATACATGAATTACGTATCAATTTTTAAATTATATTTATTTATTTATTTATTGAGACAAGGTCTTAGTCTACCACCCAGGCTGGAGTGCAGTGGAATGATCATGGCTCACTGCAGCCTTGATCTCCCAGGCACAGGTGATCCTCTCAACTCAGCCTCCTGAGTAGCTGGGACACCACAGCATGTGCCACCAGGCCCAGCTTATTTTTTAAAAATTATTTGTAGAGACAAAGTCTCCCTACGTTGTCCAGGCTGGTCTCAAACTCCTGGGCTTAAGTGATCTTCCTGCCTTGGCTTCCTAAGTGCTGAAGTGCTGAGATTACATGTGTGAGCCACCACACTTAGCCTTCTTTTTTTTTTTTTTTTTTTTTACAAAGAATGTATGGGTTTGAATCCTGGCTCCCCCACTTACTTGAGACATAACCTTGGGAAAGTCACTCAGCCCCTCTCTGCCTCAGTTTCATCATCTGCAAAATAAGTCTACCAATAATGCCAACCTGCATGTAAGTACTTAGGGTAGCACCTGGTTCATGGTAAGCCTCCAATTTATATTAGCTTTTATTATATTTAATTTGCAAATTCTCCCTAAGGGGACAATCCACTCATCTGAAAGTTAAATCATTCATGGGAAACTTGCATCAAGAAGACAATATTGATATCTCACCATGCTGTTTTAAAGAGAATCTGGATGTGTGGTTAAGATTATTAATCTTGTGGAGGTTGGAAATAATTGTACTGGCAAATGCATATCAACCAACTAATTATGGCTATTGTTGATTCATTGCCACATACCAGGTATCTGCATGCACTACCATATTTACTCTAGATAACACTGAGTTTTTACCCAAGTTTATGCAAGTGTCACAGCTGAAGTACTTATGAAATCAGGCTTGGATGGCTCCAGGGTCCATGTGCTCAAATACTACATTGAATCACCTCCTAAAGTCCTCTAATGTTGAAACCAAAACTTGGGGTACAACTTCCCTGCCTTGCCAATTAATTACTGACAGCTTCCCTGCATTAGTCAGCCAGTGGGATGCCCTCTCTTGTTGGCCCCTCTGGGGCAGGAATCATGCAGAAAAAGTGACAGAAAGGAAAGACATAGGTGGGGAAGGAGATAAAAAGGAGAAATAAAATAGGGAGGGAAAAGTAACAGAGGAGGTGGAAAGAGGAGAGTTGGAGTGTTGCACAAAATAAAGCCAGTGAGGCTAGGGAAGGCAAGATTATGGGTGACCTTCATAGCTGGTGAGAGGGTGCAGGCCAGAGGGCACCACAGGAATATCCTGAGTGGGCCAAAGAGGTGGTGTATCGTGTTTGATATCACATTATCAAGATAGATTGAAGGAGCGAGAGACAGACAGTCAAGGAAAGCAGCAGTAATTCACACTTGACCTCTGACACCAGGGATTTCAGAAAGCCACAGAAAGGTTAGGCCCTAACACAGGTGGAGGCTCCACCTGGGCTCACCTGTTCAGAAAGTTTCATAGGAAGGGAAAAAAAGGATGTTTCATGGGAGAGCCTCCATCTCAAGCATGCACGTGTTTATCTGCACACCTTAATAAGGGCGCCTACATAGGTTGTCTTCTCATTCTCTTGATAGTGTCCTTTAACATACAAAAGCTTTTCTGTAAAAACATTTTGATAAAGTCAAATCTCTCTCTTTTTTTTTTTCTTGTTTTAGATTCTTGTACTTTTGGTACAAGAAAAAAACATCTCAGGAACCATTTCCAAATCCAAGGTCATGAATATTTTCCCCAATGTTTTTTTCCTAAGAGTTTTATAGTTTTAGATTTTCTATTTAGGTCTTTGATCCATGTCAAGTAAATTTTTGTATATGATACGAGGTAAGGGTGCAACTTCATTCTCTTGCACTTGGATATGCAGTTGTCCCAGCACCCTCTGTTGAAGACACTATTCTTTGCCATTTCAATGGTCTTGGCACCACAGTAAAAATCAAGGCAAAGGATGTATGGGATTATTTCTGGATTCTAATTCTATTCCATTGATCTACACTTAAAAGACTTTTTTTGAGACAATCAGGAGAAATTTAATTATGGATTGAAAATGAGATAATATTAAAGAATTACTGATTGTCTTAGGTATTGCGGCTATGAAACACATTTTTCTTATTTTTTATATTTAGTGAAGTATTTCATCATGAGACAACATCCCAAGATTTTCTTTAAAAAAAAAAAAAAACTGGTCAAAAATTTTCTTTAAAATGAAAGAAAAAACAGAGAAAGATGAAGAAGTACAGCAAGATACTGAAAATTATTTAACCTGAAAATGGCTATATGGGTACACATTATGCTACAGTCTCTCCTTGGTAT